TCTTAAATGCGTTTTTGATTGGATGCAGCTAGTTATATAACTGTGACCAATGGATATCATTAACTTGTGGATCCAAATTGTGACATAATCTGCCATGGGTGAAGAGGATCGGATTGGATCATAACCTAGCGATGATGGTGGTACTGGTTGAAAATTGCAGTTTCTCATCCACATTTATTATGTATCAACATATATAAGTAAAAAAAAATATCTGCATATATATATAAGGGATTTAACTGTATTTCTAAAATAGTAAATAAAAAACACTCACTAGTACTACCCCTGACTTACAAATGTTTTAACACTGATTTTTTTTCATATCTTGTTACAAGCTCTGTGTCTTTGTGAATGTGTGTGATTCTTCAATAAGATTTTGTTTTCTTTATTTTTCTTTTTTGTTGCTTGATTCTAAAGTTATAATCAAAAACTTGTAAACAGTAGATAGATATAAGAAGATGTGGTATGAGTGCCAATGAGACAACTCTCCATCAGACATACATTTTAAAACATGGTTTACTTTTATAAATTTTGACTTGGATGGAGAGTTGTCTCATTGGCACTCATACCACATCTTCTTATATCTATAGACAGCAATTCAGGCAAAGAGGAGTAACTCTAACTAATTGAAAAAAGAAGAATACATTGTACCTACCTTATTGTGTAAATTACTAATATAAAAATAAGGAGATGTGGTAAGATTGACAATGAGACAACTATATATCCACCAAAACTCAAATAAAGTGGATGTAAGCAATTATAGGCAACCATACGGCCTTCAACAATGAGAAAAACCCATATTGTATAGTCAGCTTTAAAAGGCCACGACATGAAAAAAATGAAACAATTCAATTTAGAAAACTAACGGCCTAATTTAAAACAAAACAATTAGCAAAACACAAATATGACAGACATGAACCAACCACAACCACTGAACTACAGGCTCCTGACTTGGGACAGGCACATAAAGAATGTGGCGGGATTAAACATGTTTGTGAGACCTCAACTCCCCCTAACCTGGGACAGATGTCTGTATTACAAAAATTTCATCACTGATTTTGGGGGCTTTTTCGTGCTTATAATCAATAACAAAATTAATTATCATGGTCTGTATACATACATAGAGTGGTCAATATTTTCAGACTGCATAGGGTATGTTCATGTTAGTGGTTTTTCAAAACATTGCAAAATGGCTGCTGATAAAATTTACCTGTGCCAACATATACATTAGTTTTCTTTTACATCACAATTAGAAAGTAAAAGAACAAGATACTAGATAAAAATGTAGCAAAATATGTTCCCAGACACTTAAACTAGTCTGTACCAAAGTATGTTCCCAGTCAAAAAAACTAACCTATAGCAAAGTATGTTCCCAGTCACTTAAAATAGTCTGTAGCAAAGTATGTTCCCAGTCTGAACTAGTCTGTAGCAAAGTATGTTCCCAGTCTGAACTAGTCTGTAGCAAAGTATGTTCCCATTCATTTAAACTAGTCTGTAGCAAAGTATGTTCCCAGTCTGAACTAGTCTGTAGCAAAGTATGTTTCCATTCATTTAAACTAGTCAGTAGCAAAGTATGTTCCCAGTCTGAACTAGTCTGTAGCAAAGTATGTTCCCAGTCTGAACTAGTCTGTAGCAAAGTATGTTTCCATTCATTTAAACTAGTCTGTAGCAAAGTATGTTCCCAGTCTGAACTAGTCAGTAGCAAAGTATGTTCCCAGTCTCTTAAACTAGTTTGTACAATGTTGTAGCAAAGTATGTTCCCAGTCTGAACTAGTCTGTAGCAAAGTATGTTCCCAGTCACTTAAACTAGTCTGTAGCAAAGTATGTTTCCAGTCACTTAAACTAGTCTGTAGCAAAGTATGTTCCCAGTCACTTAAACTAGTCTGTAGTAAAGTATGTACCCAGTCACTTAAACTAGTCTGTAGCAAAGTATGTTCCCAGCCATTTAAACTAGTCTGTAGCAAAGTATGTTCCCAGCCACTTAAACTAATCAGTAGCAAAGTATGTTCCCAGTCACTTAAACTAGTATGTAGCAAAGTATGTTCCCAGTCACTTAAACTAGTCTGTAGCAAAGTATGTTTCCAGTCACTTAAACTAGTCTGTAGCAAAGTATGTTCCCAGCCACTTAAACTAGTCTGTAGTAAAGTATGTACCCAGTCACTTAAACTAGTCTGTAGCAAAGTATGTTCCCAGCCATTTAAACTAGTCTGTAGCAAAGTATGTTCCCAGCCACTTAAACTAGTCTGTAGCAAAGTATGTTCCCAGCCACTTAAACTAGTCTGTAACAAAGTATGTTCCCAGTCACTTAAACTAGTCTGTAGCAAAGTATGTTCCCAGTCACTTATTGTAAAAGTCTCTTGAGTAAAATAATGAACAACTGCTACACACATTACATTATCACCACAGTTTGGAGCTTATCGTCAGTCTTATCAGTTGTTGTCATTGTGAGAAATAAAGGAATGATGAAAACAATTAATTTTCATATGAACATGATGAAGCAACATGTACATGTATACTGAGTGGTGATAAAACTGTCAGAAAATTGGAATATAAAAAGACTGCAATTAGATTTTGACAATTTTTTGTGGATGTTTAACATGTTAAAGCAAAGTTTACCCTTTTTGGCCTGATGTACATGTAATATATGTCATGTTTTATTTCAGAGCTTACAAATTTAGCTCAGAGAAATATTTTAATGTTTGAGGTTTTGAAAAGTGATTAAAGGGACATTTATTCATTTCATTAAAACCAGGCCCATTTTTAGATTTTCCACGCCTTCAAAAAGTTAAAGTGTAATCAAATGGTTTACACCAGAGTCTCCATCTTTGAATCAGCCATTTCCACTTTTTGGTTTTATAGATATAAGAAGATGTGGTATGAGTGCCAATGAGACAACTCTCCATCCAAGTCAAAATTTATAAAAGTAAACCATTATAGGTCACAGTACGGTCTTCAACACGGAGCCTTGGCTCACACCGAACAGTAAGCTATAAAGGGCCCCAAAAAATTACTAGTGTAAAACCATTCAAACGGGCAAACCAACGGTCTAATCAATATAAAATACGAGAAACGAGAAACACTTATGAACCACATCAACAAACGACAACTACTGAACATCAGATTCCTGACTTAGGACAGGTGCAAACAAATGCAGCGGGTTTAAATGTTTTAATGGTACCAAACCTTCACCCTTTTTCCTGAAACAATAGTGTAACATCACAGACACAACATAGAAAGACACACTATAAAATATCAACTGAAATAGCTTTACTCAATCAAAGGACAGCCTCTTTTAAGCCTGTCATGTGATAAATCTAACCCATCTTGGCATAACCTAGGTTAATGGAAGGCAATGGCTACGATTACCAGCAAAAAGTAGCAATAAGAAAGTTTTTTTTGTTGAAAAAGAGAAAGAAGACTCAAAAGTTAATCTTTTAACAAGTATAAACAATTTTTCAGCATGTGTACAACTATCAGCATTGTTAGTGTCCAAATTAAAATTCCAATTACATCACTGGTCTACACTTGTGTGGTGAGTTAAGCCATAAAATTGTTGTTAGAATTCATAAATTATCTCCATATTAATTAAAACACAAAAGAAACAACTTAACAAGTGCTAATTGATTGACTGAATCCAATCATCAACAGGTAACCCTCAGGTAACCCTCATCAGGTAAATCAATTACCTGTTGTAACTACCAACGTGCTGGTTAAATTTCTCCTGTAATTTTATACCACACAGATAAGATTTAACAAGTCACAATTTTACGATTTTTTTCTGTAAATTATAGCACTACGGAACAGAAATATAGGACCGTGCGAGTACTAATAGGACCGCGGGTCCATGGTGCTTTCAGGGCCTGGGGAGAACACTGTTAACAATAATATCATTTTCTATTGTTACTTGCAGTTATTGTCATCCGCAAAATATATTCAGAAAGGCACACTGATCTAAATATGTTTGATTTGCAAACGATCTGTGAAATAAATTTAAACAAAGTCATGATTAAACTTCCAGATGTATTGACCAATATCATGTTCACTTTGCCATAGGGGTCTATTAACGCAATTCATCATTCTTAGGTGAAGATAAGAATGAGCAAGATGTCTAATTTGTGATCAGTGTCAAGACAAGATTTTAAAGATAAACTTGAACGGTTCCAAGACGCAAATGTTGTGCAGTTATGTACAGAAGTTCTTGTAAAATAAAACATATCGCTGAAGAACATGAAGGATATAGCAGAATGGAACTGTTTAGTGTGCGGCATAGACAACAAGATAGAGGTGAATATATATGTGGATCTATGCGACAAGTGACTGAAGTGGTGACAGCTGAAATGTGTTGGCCTCAAAATGCTACCTTACATGTGGGTTAAATACTGAATATGCAGGAAGTGTCACCAAAATAAATAGCTAAACGAATTCTGAATATGCAAAATTATGCTTTCAATTTAATACTTCTACATGTATGTTCAATAAATAACTTTTCTATTCATATCATTTTTTGTAATATGTAAAACAACGTAATGACACAATGACAGTACACAGTATCAAAATGCTAGATACGTACATGTGAGCTAAGTACAAGTGAGGAAAATTATATTTTACACCAAGACTTTATAAATAATTTGCATGAGCAACCATCCAGTGTCAAGACTCAAGAGCAACACCTATAAAATGCTGTACATGCAGAATATACAAAATGGTAAAATGTAGTTGACAATATATTTGCTGCGAAAACATCTCTTTAAATTCGGAAATATTATCATCTGCCCTTGCATCTACTTCGTATGCCCTAAATTGTATGAAACAAATCTCGAAGGTATAAATTATATTATTATACTAGCAAGTTTCTGTTTCAAGCAGGTTAAATTATGTTTCTGAACAACTGCAAAATTAGATTGTTACTTCGTAAGTGCGTCACAAAATACATTTGGTTATGATCTTTCAGCGTTATAGAATGTGGTTACCTTTAAAAAAAAACGAAAATCATTTAAATTTACCTGTTTTCCACATTGTTCGTTTTCATTTTTCTGAATTAATTACAAGGTGTATCTGTGTAAGATGAAAGAGTTGTTTTCATTGGATAGTAAATTTAGCTACATCAGGATTAGCTACATAGAACCTCGTTATTTTTTATCCACGTACGTTGAATAATAATGTGTGTATCCATTGCAAACTTTGAATCCAATATTACACTATCATCCAAAAGATGTTGTTTATTGAATGAGAATTAGTAAGAAGCAATATCCCAAAAAGCATACAGCTATAATTTCTTGACCAATCAAACGTTGCCTTTCGGAATGAGTACTAAATTTGAAGCCAATGACGGTTGTATCAAATCCGTAGATTAATTCTTATAATAAGATAGATTTTTGTATACGTTTGCCTGCCGAGTTGAGGTTACTACCATAATTATTTCACCCTATAGTGAACAGTATAATCAAAGTGCTTCACAGAAGCACCTGATTGTAATGCATATAATGTAATATTATTCTTTTATATGTGGTTTTTGGCTCTGATTCTGACCAATGCTAAGTATACTAAATATATATTTACAAGTGACTATTATTGTTGTTGTTGTTACCAATTACGTAAATCAACTGTATCTGATTTTATGCCCTTTATGGGCCCTGTAATTTGGAAAATAAAAATATTCTATTCTATTCTATTCTATATACACAGAAAAAGCATGCGACCAGAAAGAAAACTAAATGGGAGAATATCAACATAAAATATGATATAAGATAGTACTTTCAAAATTAAGAAAACAAGAAGTCAAATTATTGGTTTTTTTTTGTTTTTTGTTTTTTGTTTTTTGCTATTCAATAAACAACAAAACAAGATTTGCTACATGACTGAACTGATAACTATACAGCACAGTGTTCACTGAACTGATAACTATACAGCACATTGTTCACTGAACAACATTTCTTTTAGCCATGCCTCCTCTTATAACGCAAAGTTGTAAAAATTGTAATCAATCAAAGAAAATTTTTCTTTTGTTAAAAAAATGTGACACATTTAAGTTTAAATCATGTGGGGAGAGCCTAGGCTATTTTTTGTTACAAGATTACTTTCCGTTATAATGAATTGCTGAAGATTTAACAAATTAGTATTTCTGTTTATATAAATAATTAATAAGATTGAGTGTTTTACATGTCAAAATGTGAAGTTACTTCATTGTGCTATAATTCATTGAATATATTCACAGATTTTGTAAAATTAGCAACTTATTTTTTAGTTATATAGTGTTTCTATTCATCTAGCTTTTGTTGAATAAGTTTAAGACCCTCAAATAAGTTTTAAATTTTATAATTGTACTGAGGTTTTTAAGCATAGAGCCACTTGGACTGTTCAGACCTGTCTGATTCTACATATAGAAAAGAAATGACAATTTTGAGCTTTCTGGTCCTGCATAGATCTGATCGTTATCACCATAGAGAAGATGAGTTTGTTTTGCATTATAATGCATCTAGACTAGCCTTCGAATGACAAAATGAATTTTGTTACTTTTATGTAAATTTTGACTTGCTTTTGCATATACAAATGTAAATGTTTATCTTTAAAAAATCGTTGATATTTGTCAAATTATTATTCATTAATAAACTATGAAAACTTGCAAGTGTTAAGTTCTGCAAAGCCAAATATGAAGAACCAGAGACTCAGGGTCTGGGTTCGAACTCATTATGCAGACCGTAAAGAGTTGGATGGATCCTAAAATATGTTGAAAATGACACAGAAAGCACAAAACATAAAACCCCTCCTGTTACAATCGTGTAAATTTTATCCACCTGAATTTAAAGTCTCACAGATAACTTGCATCTGTGCATGGAATTTGCTATACATTTATGTAAAAAAAAATGAATCAATTTTTCATGGTATTTTGTTGTACAATATGACGGGAAAATTAGGCCAAAACTCTCCTATGTTTATTTCGGGCATACAAAACAAATGTTCAAAATATGAAGGTGAACTTCGTGTATCAACTTATAAAACCCTGCCACATTTCCATATGGCTGTCCCGAGTCAGGAACCTCGTCAGTGGTTGTCTTAAGTCTTAATTAGATCATTTGGTGTTGATGGTAGATATTCATTGTTTCTGTTAAATTTATTTGAAACTTTTATAGACTTGGAACAATTTAGATTGCCGTATTGTTTTGAGACTTTTTATTGTTGAAGGCTTATTGTTTTCCTCTAGATGTCAGGATTTACTGTTATAACTGTATGTTGCCCTATATAAGTCTATTGGTTTATTGTTGAAGGCTTATTGTTGTCCTCTAGATGTCACGGTTTACTGTTATAACTGTATGTTGCCCTATATAAGTCTATTGGTTTATTGTTGAAGGCTTATTGTTGTCCTCTAGATGTCAGGATTTACTGTTATAACTGTATGTTGCCCTATATAAGTCTATTGGTTTATTGTTGAAGGCTTATTGTTGTCCTCTAGATGTCACGGTTTACTGTTATAACTGTATGTTGCCCTATATAAGTCTATTGGTTTATTGTTGAAGGCTTATTGTTGTCCTCTAGATGTCAGGATTTACTGTTATAACTGTATGTTGCCCTATATAAGTCTATTGGTTTATTGTTGAAGGCTTATTGTTGTCCTCTAGATGTCACGGTTTACTGTTATAACTGTATGTTGCCCTATATAAGTCTATTGGTTTATTGTTGAAGGCTTATTGTTGTCCTCTAGATGTCACGGTTTACTGTTATAACTGTATGTTGCCCTATATAAGTCTATTGGTTTATTGTTGAAGGCTTATTGTTGTCCTCTAGATGTCACGGTTTACTGTTATAACTGTATGTTGCCCTATATAAGTCTATTGGTTTATTGTTGAAGGCTTATTGTTGTCCTCTAGATGTCACGGTTTACTGTTATAACTGTATGTTGCCCTATATAAGTCTATTGGTTTATTGTTGAAGGCTTATTGTTGTCCTCTAGATGTCAGGGTTTACTGTTATAACTGTATGTTGCCCTATATAAGTCTATTGGTTTATTGTTGAAGGCTTATTGTTGTCCTCTAGATGTCACGGTTTACTGTTATAACTGTATGTTGCCCTATATAAGTCTATTGGTTTATTGTTGAAGGCTTATTGTTGTCCTCTAGATGTCACGGTTTACTGTATGTTGCCCTATATAAGTCTATTGGTTATCTGAATTAATAGTTAAACGGGCATCGGTCGAATCAGAAGGTCATGTCCCGACCGCCGGTTCCATACGGCCTTACAAAAGTAAATCAGAGTGTATCATCAGAGACATATGATACATGTATTATATGTCTCTGGTATCATGGATACTTCAAAGAAGACCCGATCCCATTAGACTCTTAATAAATTTATCTTTCTCTGAAGGTACGATACCTGAAGATCTGAAAATGGCTAAGGTGAAGCCCCTATTTAAGAAAATGACAGACTCAAGCCTGAAAATTACAGGCCTGTTAGCATCTTAAGTAATGTTGCTAAAACTCTAGAAAAAGCTGCCTATAAGCAACTTTTAAAATCTTAATTTCAAATAATTTATTATTTGAGATTCAATCAGGATTTAGAAGTTCTTTTTCAACTGATTCTTGTCTCATCCACTTACTAGTAATAGATCACATTAAAACTCAAACAGCCAAAGGTCTTTTTACGGGCATGGTCCTATTAGAACAACAGATGGCTTTTGACAAAGTAGATCATAAGATATTATGTGAAAAATTGGAAGTTATTGGGGTTAGATCTATACCTTGGTTTGAGTCCTATTTGACAAACAGAAAACAGGTTGTAAAAGTAAATGGGGTAACTTCAGAGGTGTGTAATATTACATGCGGTGTCCCTCAAGGCAGCTTACTAGGTCTACTGTTGTTTTTTTTGATCTATGTCAATGATGTTCAAACTAGAATTGACTCTGATTGTAAAGTTTTGATATATGCAGATGATACTGCAATTTTATTTTCCCATATAGACCCTGGAGTAATCTTTCATACATTATCCAGAATGATGGAGTCATGCCCTGAGTGGTTAACTGACAATGAATTGTCCCTACATTTGGGAAAGACGGAGAGCATAATGTTTGGTCCTGGTCGAAAAATTCAGTCTCTAATACCAGGTGATTTTGCTATCTCTTGTAATGGTATTAATATTGAATCCTAAAATTTTGTTAAATATTTGGGAATAATAATCAGTTTCTGGCTGGTAATTTTATTGTCAATTCTATAGTGAAAAAGCTAATCAAAGGCTTAAATTTTTATATAGAAATAAAGATTGTCTAAATTTTCAATCTAAGAAAATATTGTGCTCTTCTCTGATTCAATGTAATTTTGATTATGCATGTGCATGCAGATTTAAAGGTATATCAAAACAAATGAAGACCGATAAACTTCAACTGGCTCAAAATAAGATTGTGAGATTTATTCTGCAATTACATCCTAGGAAAAGTGTGACATATATTGACTTTTAAAATTAGTTTTTTTTAATATTAGTAAATAAACTCATCATAGATACCAGGATTGAAATTTTGTATTTGCGCCAGACGCGCGTTTCGTCTACAAAAGACTCACCAGTGACGCTCGAATCAAAAAAAGTCATAGAGTCAAACAACTGAGACTCGATCATGTTTTCAACATTTTTAACAATATTGCCCAAATTATTTGCATACTAATTTTGTTAGAAATGAAACATCTTTCAACACAAGATCTAGTAACATGAATTTTTATATAGATATAAGAAGATGTGGTATGAGTGCCAATGAGACAACTCTCCATCCAAGTCAAAATTTATAAAAGTAAACCATTATAGGTCAAAGCTCGGTCTTCAACACGGAGCCTTGGCTCACACCGAACATTAAGCTATAAAGGGCCCCAAAAATTACTAGTGTAAAACCATTTAAACGGCAAAACCAACGGTCTAATCTATATAAACAACGAGAAACACTTATGAACCACATCAACAAACGACAACTACTGAACATCAGATTCCTGACTTAGGACAGGTGCAAACAAATGCAGCGGGTTTAAACGTTTTAATGGTACAAAACCTTCACCCTTTTTCTGAAACACATAGTGTAACATCACAACATAGAAAACACACTATAAAATATCAACTGAAATAGCTTAACTCAATCAAAGGACATATTAACACCAGTAAACATACACTGAACACATAAATTTGAC